ATCACTCAGGGTCTCCAGAAGACAATTGTGTTCTTCCCACCCATTCTATCATGTAATAATTCTCACTCCATCAGACTGTGTTTCTAAAAACATCCCCCTAAAGTATTCCTAAATGTCAGGTAAGGGTCTGGTGATATAACCCAAAGCAGCCTACTATGTTAGCACAGTGTTGATTTGCTTTTAAAAGCTCATGCAGTTTGCACACCATGTTATAAAATATCCATGTTCACCATAGGAACAGGGTGATTCCAGCTCAAGAAACTCCAAATCTGAAGAGCAGGCATTCTATAAAACTGTGCTTTCTCTTCCTTAGTAAATTTCCTTCATGCTGATCAGACTTTAAAAATGGCTACAGAAAACTGAAAATCATTGCATAAAATCAAACTATAGAAACGTGTACAAAAATTATTAGGACTGCATGATTTACTTTTTTCTTTGCTTATTATCTCTTTGCTTGTGGTGATTGCATGTTCTGCATTGAGAAGTATTTTCAACTCTGAGTGGCTGGGAGCAAGAGGCCATGCTCTGATACAGGCAGCCCGTAGGCAGCTACAAGGAACAGCCTCTTTCTCATTCAAGTATCCCCAGTACCTTATGTTGACCCGCTGTTCCAGTCCTCTTTAAAGAAAGGTTATGAGGGCACTGAGAATTCCTTCTTGAGCACAAATCCTTAGAAAACAAGGAACAAACTGAACTGAAAACACTGTGTCTACCTCTATGTCAGGACTCATTTCCAGAGAAAGTACCATTTGGTTTTCAGTCTATTAGTGATTGCCTTTTTTTTAAAACTTCCATTCAAACCTGCAATTTGTACAAAATTTGGGTTTTTAAAATCATATTATTCTTACTTTTGGATCAATAAACATTAAAGTTAGAAACCACTGTGAAATTGCCTTCTGGCCACACATCCTGTTGGATGCATCTAAAATCCTTGGTGATGGTGAGCCTGGCATTTGGGGTATACTGCACAGCTTGGGGACCATTTAAAAACCTGTGGTATTTTGGTGGTACTGCTGTCTGAGATTATGCATACCATGCTTTGAGATGTTTCCTAAATACCCTGTAGCCTTTCTCTTTTTCTTTATTCGCAATGTGTTTGCAAGCCAGGGAGAGGCAAGTTACCAAAGGGCACCATTTAATAAAAAAGGAGGCAAGTTTGCTTAACATGCTGATTGGCCTTCCTCATATCACTCAGTGATCCCAGGCAGGACTGCAATGGGGACCTCATGGTGAGGATTGTGGTCATACTATTCTTTCCAACAGAACGTGCTACACTTTTTTTATTTTATTAAAAAAATTTTTTTAATGTTTATATATTTTTAAGAGAGAGACACACAGAGCACAAGTGGGTGAAAGGCAGAGAGAGGGAGATATAGAATGTGAAATAGGCTCCCAGCTCTGAGCTGTCAAGCACAGAGCCTGACATGGGGCTCAAACTCACGAACTGTGAGATTGTGACCTGAGCTGAAGTTGGACGCTTAACAACTGAGCCACCCAGGTGCCCCGAACATGCTGCACTTTTAAATAATTTTTGGTCTTAAAAATATAAAACCAAAATGGAGAAAAGTGAGCTACTCTTGATAGTAGCCCAAATTCCACCCTCATTCCCCAGGCAAAGATTTTCCTGATTCAGGATTTGCAGTAGCACATCGGATGGTGGCATTTGGTCTTCTGATATGAACGAGAGTCACACAGAAGAATTCTATTTCCTGCTGCTCTAAAACTCTCCTCAGATGCTTCAGTAATATGGAGGAGTTGCTAATGAAGACAGTTTCTAGGAACCTAGACAGCTACTCTAGGCTACTCTTGGTTGCCTTGGCAATGTTGCTGACACATATGTGTTTCTTGGAGTTAGAGAATTGCCCAAGAAGTGTTTACTGAGCTTCAGAAAAATAACGGCTAGCAAACCATGCTGTCAATAAAGATGGTTCCATAGTCTTCACAGTGTGTCATTAACCGTAAAAGATCCCTCTGTATCCTAGAAGTCTGAAGATGTGACATTGGCAATACACTTTCCTCAGATTCTCATCTGTTAGATGAGCAAGTTAGATTGCATGAAATCCATGCTCCCTGTCTGCTGTTCTACACTGTGGTTTAGGGTGAAGATGTTAAATCAAAGAAGAAAAAGAATTAACCCTTACTAAAAAGCACCTTTTGGAGTCAGGCATCAATTAGGCTCTTTTGCTTGTGTTCTCATTTAATCTCCCCAGAATTGGCATGCTCCCTGTTCTAAAGATGGGGAAACTATGGCTTAATGAAGTTAAAAGGTTTGCAGAGGTCATCCAGGTCTCATTGGTGATCAAGTGGGGTCCTGTTTCATTTGACTTTTGTCCTTATTGTTTTTCTGCTGTGCTTGTGCTGTTTCTTATAATTCAGAGCAGTGGTTCTTCATCTGATGGAAGCCATGAACCCTCTGAATAAAAGACACATTCATGTTGTATTAGGCATGTAATTTCAGGTCATCATGGACACCTTGGAATCTATCTATGGACCAGATAAAGAGCCCCCTTGCCTAGAGGGAGGCCATGGTCATCTGTATTCTCAAGGGAGACCAACAGCCTTTCTACATGTTACTCACTCTTCAGGTCTCAATTGGAGAGACTCTGTGTAGTTGTGATTGTTCCTGTATGTGTATCTTCATCAAAGAAAGGGAAAGTTGCCTCCAGGGAGTAGCGATAGAGTCGTAGGATCTCAAGATAGATGTGTGCCTCAGAAGTCATCCGCAAGCCCCTACCATCAGGTACTTCAAGATTGTTCAGTGTTGTGTGTTATAATTGTAATAGCTAACCTTCTTAAGCGCTTATTGCTGGACATTGAAATAAAAGTTTTACGTGTATGTGGGGCACCTGGGTGGCTCAGTCGGTTGAGCACCCTGACTCTTGATTCTGGCCATGATCTCAGGGTTGTGGGATCCAGCCCTGCATCAGGCTCCATGCCGAGTGTGGAGCCTGCTTGTGATTCTCTCTCCCTAGCTCTCTCTCTCCCTCCCCTCTCCCTCACTTGCACACGCTTTCTCTCTCTCTCTAAAAAAAAAGTTTTTTTTTTTTACATGTATTACCATTTAATTTTCACACCATACACCGAGTTAGGTACGAGTATTCTCCTTAGTTTACAGATGAGCATACTACTATAGAAAGATGAAGAGCCTTGCCCAGGGCAGATTCCAAAGGGCAGGGTGGGATGCCAGCTTCTATCCCTCTATCCTTCAAACCCAGCACCCTCTTTGTCACTTTGATATGCTGCCTCCTGTCACTTTGTTCCTACCCACAGGGAACATTTTAGCCCTCTTTTCCCTTAGGACTTCTCCCAAACCAGAGAATTCACATGCTAATGGAGCTTACACCTGAGCAAATCAATCAAGAATTCCCGAATTCCTTCCTCTATTAAATTTGATTATTTTCTCTCTAGAGCAGGCAGGTAGGAAGACGGAGAACCTTCTTACAAATGACCAAGGGATTTTTCATTCACATGTAATTCCTTACCTGTTTTTGTAGTGAAGATCAGACAAATCCATATGATGCAGAGACCAGAAACTGTTCCCTAAATTGTGCTCCAGTAAATAGTAACCTTATAAGAAGTTAACAAATCCACATGGGAAACACAGGGTTGAATAATGTTACACAGTATTGTTTTATTGCAGGACTTCTTAAAACCTTTAATATGCTTATAACGGAAGATCATGGGTGTGCCTGGGTAGCTCAGTCAGTTAAGCATCTGACTCTTGATGTTGGCTCAGTTCGTGATCTCATGGTTGTGGGATCGAGCCCCATGTCGGGCTCTGTGCTGAGCATGGAGCCTGCTTGAGTCTCTCTCTCTCTCTCTCTCTCTCTCTCTCTCTCTCTCTCTCTTTCTCCCTGTCTGTCACTTTCTCTCTGTCCTTACCCTGCTTGTGCATATTCTCTTTCTCTCTCTCTGTCACTCAGAATAAATAAACATTTTTAAAAAAAGGAAATTGTGTAAGCTTTAGGAATTACATTGGAAGGGTGCAGTTGACTAAGGTCCAATGTATTTTTCATTCATTCAGCATTCTTTTAAATTTTTTTTTTCAACGTTTATTTATTTTTGGGACAGAGAGAGACAGAGCATGAACGGGCGAGGGGCAGAGAGAGAGGGAGACACAGAATCGGAAACAGGCTCCAGGCTCTGAGCCATCAGCCCAGAGCCCGACGCGGGGCTCGAACTCACGGACCGCGAGATCGTGACCTGGCTGAAGTCGGACGCTTAACCAACTGCGCCACCCAGGCGCCCCTCATTCAGCATTCTTTATTGCCTATATATGTGGGTTCTGTGAATTCTTCCTGGAACTGGAACATCTTACCTATTCTCTCATTAAATACTGAGTTAAAAAATAATCTTTGCCCATGTTCATTTGTATTTTTTAGGGTGCATTGTGATTTCCTCTTTTTTAACCTTTAACAATATTCTTTGATACTCTACCGAGAGATATATAGTATTTGGTTATCTTTCAAGTAGACTTGGCCCTGGATTTTTATTTTTTTACTTTTTTATTTTTTTGTGTAGAGATTTCTGAGATTATGTCCCATGGAACACTCTTTGGGAAACACTGTTTTATAAGAACATGGTAAATCAAAAGGGTAGCTGAAAACCAAATCCCAGCTTTATACAGACTTACAATACATAAACTTAGAACATCCCTGCAGAGTAGAAAGGAAGCAGACATTCTTATTCTGATTTTGGTCCTCATCCCCATGGGGTACAAAGCAGAGAAGCAATTATCCCAAAGTCCCACAGAGACAAGGCTCTCAGTCCCATCCATTTCCAACGATTATAGTCCAGAGTCTCAACACACTGCCTTAGTGAGTGTTTTCTGTTTTTTCTTTTTCCAGCTATACCCTAATCTGCCCATCTCAACCTTTCAATTCACCTCCTGAAATCCTGGAGAAAGATTGTTGATAAGGTAGAACAAAGCTTCCAAAAATCTTTCCTATGATATCTAATTAGTTCGCAATACACTTGGGTATGTAGACCGTGTTGCCAGAATGAGAGGGAAGTTGGCAGCATTTGGTGAAAATATGTTTTGTGAAGCCAAGATTACGGGCTCCAAGGAGCTCATGAAGGTGAGTGGTGGCCCTTCAGTGCTGTAGGGTCAGAGCAGGTGTAAGAGAGGACCTGGATCCTTCTTTCCCTGGGAGCTTGTCACTTGTCCTAATGGAATGATCTTGTCTTGACATCTGTGGAATCCGGTAAGGTTGTGTTGTCAGTGTTTCTGTCCCACTTCCTGCTCTGGTGACTCACTCTTTGTGTCCTGATTTTACAAGGAGGTAATGTTCCCCCAGGCCTTTTGCGAGTCAGAGGCAAATTGGACGGTTTCTGTCTAAGTGAGGGTAGAATGGGGAGAACAAGTTGTGTAGAAACTGTGACCGTCACTCAGCGTTTATGGATAAATATGATAACCTATTTTGGATGGAGATGGTGTCACATGGCTTTCATTTAATAAAAGTGTGGATCTTCTTGGGGTGCCTGGGTAGGTCACTCTGTTAAATGTCTGACTCTTGATTTCATTCGAGGTCACGATCTCACGGTGTGTGAGTTCAAGCCCCACGTCGGACTCTGTGCTGACTGTGCAGAGCCTGCTTGGGATTCTCTCTCTCTCTCTCTCTCTCCCTCTTTCTCTGCCCCTTGCCTGCTCACGTGCACATGTGTGCTCTAAGTAAACAAACAAACAAACAAACTGAAAAAAAAAGTATGGATTTTCTCACCACTAGGTGAGACGCTGACTCTGGCATCACGCTGTCTGCTTTGAGTCCTGGGTCCATTACAAAAGAACTCTATCACTGCGGTCAGTTACTCCAATTTTCAGTGTTCTCATTGGCAAAATGGAGATAATCGTTGTAACCTGACTCACAAGGTTGTTGGTAAAATTAAACTCATTTTTAGATCGAATGCGTATAGAACGAGGGTTGATGTATTTTACATTTACATAGATGATAGCAAATAAATCAGGGATTATGGAATTATTCGTGTGGGACATTTTCACAAGAGGAGGGAGAGCAAGAACATGTCCTTTCCTCTCTGTACTCCTTTTTCTCTGTATCCTGCCCATCGGCCCCAACAGCCCCCTCTTGATTTAGGAATTTACAGTCCCAGTTGAAATCCCTGGTAGGGTTTTGTGAACTTTTTGTTCTACCTAAGTCAACATCTTTCATGATTTTACTGCGGGTCAGTGTTTTTGCATTGCTGACTCATCTTTTGCTGGTATGATGGGTAGCTGAGGTCACAAAGACTGTCTGAAGAGTGCGTAGAAAGGAACCAGGAACAGAACTGCGTCCTGGTGAATTGCCTGGGTGCAGAGCTTCCATAACTACACACATTTGCAGGGGCTCTTCTACAGGTGGATTGCCAACATTTTAGCAGACAAGCATTCTCTCGAACATCTGGCCAGTGGTAAATGGAGGAATATCTCCCCCTAGCTGAGGGGCATGAGGATTCATTTAAATAGTAGAACAAGGTTAGAGGGTCATTGTATTATTCTGTGCAATATTGGTATGTCCCTGAAGGGGGCCGAGGAAGGAAGACCCCCTTCAGAGTGTCAGGATGATTTGAAGGCTTTAATAAACTTCTTTGTCACTGAATTTTGGTATAAATGTTGTATTCTGGGTCGGGTACTGGAGGTATCAGGTTTCCTGGAAGGGTAGCTCTGAGACAAGGATGGCCAACCCAGGCACCTAGAAGAGAGCAGGATGTCGAATGCCAGGGCGAATGTCCATTCGTCTTCCCTTGATCAGTATTCCTTAAGCTGTTTTTTTTCCCCCACCAATAATTATTGTTTTTAAGTTGGAGCACTAAGATGTCCTCGACTTTAGAGATGGGGAAGGATGGAAGAAAGCAGTCTTCGGGAGCCTGGTACCTGACCAGGTTGGTTGATACATGAATGAAAACAGCTTCGGCTGGTCCTCCCTGCACCTGCATTCTGAGGTCCCTTCTCACTTACCTCTGTTTCCCTTCCAGGCCCCTGAACTTTCTTTCCTCCATTGTGTTCTAATTCTCACTTGGCTCTGTCACACCTAGGATAAACCTGCTTGTGTCTGAGATTTATACTTTACTACATGTCATTCTCAAATTTTTTAAGTCTGAAGGTCACTCAAATGGACAGAAGGCTGTGAACATTCCCTCTCTCACCTATTTTTGCTTATCTCCTCAAAAGTGTTTCCCAGAATGAGAGGAAGGCTCATGCCAGCCTCTGAGAGACTTTGATGCCATAATGGCTAATGTATTAAAATCTGCCAGAGCAAGGAGTGGATGTTGTAATGACGCAGACATAAATCTATAAAAGACCAGATAGAGGGCAAAATACAGGACCTTGACAGGAACACTCCAAAGGATGATTCATCTTGTTCCTCTCAAGTTAGAGCACATTAAAGCTGCTGCTTTAAGTCTTTGAATATACCTAGCAAGAAGTCAAAGATCTAGTACCCTGAAGTTTGGCCAACAGTGCAGTGTCTGCTCATAGGATACCAGCACAAGCAAATACCCTGCATTGTCATGTACCTGATGGCCTCCTTCCAGTCCTTGGAAGTCCTTATGGAACTTGGCACAGGGCCAGAGTGAGCACTTGGTAAATGCTTTCTGAATGTGCACATGGACATGTGGGTATCTGGACAGATGAGTGAATGAATCCTCTGTACATGGGCAGGGGCGAAAGACCCAACTCTCCATGTCTTATCCAGACGAGAAGAGACCATGGTCATCCCATGTAGTTGCCTCCTGGATTCAGTGGATAGTGTATACGTGATTTTATGTGCTCTTCTTTTTTATAAATACATAGAGTGTGGAGAGAGGGGTGCCTCCTTGTTCAGAGAAGGCTAAATTAGGCGGTTCTCTCCTTGACTGCCTAAATCAGAGAGTTCTGAATTTCTAGAGACATTACTTGGGCACTTCAGGAGCAATTGCTCTAGAGAATTGCTCTTAAAAAGAATTTAAGGGGCGCCTGGGTGGCTCAGTTGGTTAAGCGTCCAACTTTGTTTAGCTCAGGTCATGATCTCATGGTTTGTGAGTTCGAGCCCCACATTGGGCTCTGCGCTAACAGTGCAGAGCCTGCTTGGGATTCTCTCTCTTTCCCTCTCTCTCTGCCCCTCCCCTGCTCTCTCTTTCAAAATAAATAAACCTAAAAAAAATAAAATAAAAAAAAACAATGTGAGATTCATGTCTTTGGAGCAGCCCAGGCAAACCATTACTAACTGCTTTAGGAGACACTGAAATAGGGTTTACTTGCGGAAATACTCCAAGCTACCATATTCCCGCTTTTCCTTCCTGTTTAATTTTTAATTTGCCCATGTCATGGTGTCTTTTCACGATCACATCAGAACTTCTGAACTCAGGCCTGAGAGGGGAGGGTGACACAGCCAGCCATAGAGGGATGCTTCAGAATCTCATCGAAAGGAAAGGCAGTTTGAAAATGCTTATTCAACTTAAGATGTAATTTTGCATTCAAAAACAGCAGCGACAAAATAACAAAATCCTGTTGTTTCAAAACAGTAAGGTGTCAGTGCAGATGAAATAAGCTGTGAGGTGAAAGATCGAAGTCCTGAAGCAAAACGCATGAGGCACAACATTGTCTGCCATTTGCCTGTGCGTGGAAGGTGGCTCATGTCGTCAGAACCTGAGTATCAGATCCGTGAATGTATAGTAATCGCCCTGTAACGTGAACGTCAATGGTGCCAAACTGGTCAGGTTAATGGATATTTTCAGTTACTGGGAGAAAAATCACAAGACTCTTCATGTTTGTTTTCCAGCTGAGCCATCTCTTCCATCCACAGGTCCTGTTGCGTATTTCTGGTTCTGACCTTTCCTAATCCCGCATCAAAACCATCCCCCTCCCTGGAGCCTTCGCCACAGCCTAGGTCCCTGGTTCTCAGTGGCAGAAACCTGAGGTCATCTGTGCGTCTTCTCTGTCCCCACCCTGTCCATCTTGTAAGCCAACAAGTGTAGTGTGGATTGCGCTTTTTTAAAAAAATATATTTATTTATTTTTGAGAGACAGAGAGCACGAGTGGGGAGGGGCAGAGAGAGAGAGAGAGAGAGAGGGAGAGAGGGACACACACACAGAATCCGAAGCAGGCTCCAGGCTCTGAGCTGTCAGCACAGAGCCCGACGCGGAGCTCGAACCCGTGAACTGCAAGATCATGACCTGACCCAAAGTCGGACGCTTAACTGACTGAGCCACCCAGGTGTCCCGGATTGTGCTTTTTAAGTGTCTTCCCAGTGTGTTTTCTCACTCAGGCTCAGTGGCATTGCCTGGACCGTGTAGTCTCTTAACTGGTCCCACTTTTACAAAGAGTCTTGCTCTCTTCTAATCTGTCCTTACCACTGTCTCCAGGCTGCACAAATCCATGCAGGTGGCTCCCTCCAAGCAAAAGCATCATTGGCTCGCCATGGTCTGCAGGAGAAAATGAAACTCTTGAGTCTTGCAGACTAATAAACCTCTCTGTCATCTGTCATCCACCTCCCACGCTAGCTTCCTCTACCCCGGTTCCCCTCACCTCGCGCCTCAGCATACCACACTCACGGTCCCTAGAACTGGCTCGCCTTTCTGCAGCCCCCTGCATGGTTGGGCACACAGTCTTCAGTAAGTCTGTCTTCTCTTCAGTTGGAGATAGGAGTGTATGGACTTCCTTCTCTGCCTACTCTTGACTGTGATTTATGTTCTTTCGTAGGGAAAATGTCAAACTTGATACAGTTCATTATAGATTCGAGAATTAGGTGATATCTGAAATTAGAATCTGAATTTGAATGAGAAGATACTTATTTCAGGGGCGCCTGGGTGGCTCAGTCAGTTAAGCTTCCACTCTTGGTTTTGGCTCATGTTCCGATCTCATGGTTCATGGGTTCGAGCCCTGCGTTGGGCTCCGCACTGATGGTGTGGAGCCTCCTTGGGATTCTCTCTCTTCCCCTCTCTCTGCCCCTCTCTGGAGATTTCTCTCTCTCAAAATA